CAACCCGCTGGCCTTCAACTACACAGCCGACCAGACAGAGAAACTAGACGACACAATCAAGACTCTACTCCACAAAGATGCAGTAGAAGAGATAAATCAAGTTCTCATCACACCCGGTTTTTACTCCCCAATTTTCCTGGTACCAAAGAAGAATTCCAAGGAGAAGTTTCTGCTCATCTACAACATGAGGAAATTCAACCAGGAGTATCTCCGCAGACCAGCAAAATTCAAGATGATACATCTTCCTCAGCTCCGACATCTCGTTCGTCCATCAGACTACCTCGCCAGCACAGATCTACAAGATGCGTACCTACACTTCCCGATACATCCAGACTCAAGGAAATACCTAAGATTCCTTTTCAACGGACATCACTTCCAGTGAAGGTTCTACCGTTTTGAATATCGTCTGCCCCCTGGTTGTTTACTCGAGTGACCAAGCCCATCGTCACATATCTAAATCATCGAGGTCTACGCAGTGCTTTTTACCTGGACGACAGAGTTCAAGTTCATCAAGATCCCAGTCAACTCAGACTGCAACTAGACTTCACCATCAGGCTTCTCACTCAGTTAGGATGGCTGGTAAATCTCCTCAAGTCGGAACTGGAGCCGAAACAGGATCTTCAATTTCTAGGAATACGACCCATCACGCCGGTGAATCTCATAGTCATCCCAGAGGATCGTTGGGTCAAGATACAACATATGATATCTCAAGCAATGCTCTCTCCATTGACACTACGTGCATGGCAAAGCATGCTCGGTCTACTCACCTCAGCTCAAGACATGACTCGCAGAGGGAGATTACAACTGCGCCCACTACAAATATTTGTGAATGCCCATCTCGACAGTCTGGATCTGCTGATACTACCGACAGCCTGAAACCATACCTCTTATCGAATGTTTGGTGAGGAACCTTTATGTCAGAGCCGGTTTGCAACACTCATCTCTACATAGATGCATCACTACAAGGATGGGGTGCCCACCTCGACAACGAAGTGGCAGCAGGGAAGTGGTCGAGTCAGGATCAGAGTCTGCACATCAACCTGTAGGAGATGAAAGCAGTGATCAACGCTTTACAACACTGGTCCAGCGTACTAAAGAACGCAAGACTCACGGTCCACACGGACAACTCCACAGTAGCGTTCTACATCAACAAACAAGGATCAACAAGATCAACAAGTCTGCTACAACTCAGCTTTCTCCTGTTCAGCATCGTCGACGACCTGAACATCTACATGAAGGCATGCCACATTCCAGGAGCAAAGAATGTCATAGCAGACGCCCTATCTCGTCCACTACAACCATCCCCGACGAAATGGATGTTACACCCAGAAGCGTTCCGGTTCGTCATACAGACAATAGGATCTCCACTGATAGACCTGTTTGCAACTAAGTTCAACAAGCAACTACCAAGATTCGTCTCACCGATTCCGGATCCTCAGGCATGAGCAACAGATGCTTTAAGCATCTCATGGGAAGGACTAAACACTTATGCGTTTCCACCTCCAGCCACTACTACCACAAGTAATACAGAAAATCAAGCAAACGACAATGTTGCAACTGATTTTGGTCGCGCCCTATTGGCCAGTGAGTGTATGGTTTCCCGTCATCATACAAGAACTTGGAAGTCCAACCCTGAAACTACCAGAGTGGTCGAACCTGCTCATCCATCCACTCACCAAGCAAGCTCACGGGCATCCGGCATTGTTCCAGCCTCACGCGTGGAGCGTATCAAAGCTTGCCTGAAGAGTAGAGGGTACTCCGCCAGAGCAGCGAAAGCAGTGACACTAGCGCTACACAGATCAACTTGCAACTTGTACAACGACAAGTGGCAGAGATTTGAACAGTATGCAACGAGGAAAGGCTTTACAGCAGTAAAAGCAACCCATCCTCAAGTGGCAGAATACCTGTGTCATCTGCGACAGACGAGACACTTAAAAGGTTCAACACTCTCAACGTACCTGGCTGCTCTCAGCACAGTTATCACCATGAAGACGGGTGTCAAGCTGACCAAAGTACCAGAGATACTGGGACTACTACGCTCGCTCAAGTTGGAAGACCAACAAAAGAAATTCAAGGCTCCTGCCTGGGATGTCAACGTAGTTCTACAACATCTCACCAGTGATGCCTACAAGCCTCTAGAACGGACATCCTTTGAACTACTGACACAGAAAACGCTGTTCCTGATCACCCTAGCAACAGCAGTACGGATGTCAGAAATACATGCTCTAGACTTTGAACGAACACGGTTTGAATCAAGACATCGTGACATCGTACATCTAGGACTGAGATGGGACTTTATTGCCAAGAACCAACTGCCCAGCCAGCCTGACAGACAGTTCCACATCCCAGCAATCTCTACAGTCCTTGGGCCACAGGATACACAGGATCTATCCTTATGCCCTGTCAGAGCACTAATTTTTGACATCCGTGCTGCATGAGTGATAGACCTTGTACTTGTATAGGTCATACTCGTACATGAAGAAGGGTCGCATCTCCACTTGATGCGCGCATCAAGAGATGGAGTTGCAATAGATAACTAATGGAACATTAGTATATCTAAAATCCACACGAAAATGTCAGAAGTTTCAGAAGAAATCTGACAAGTTGTGGTTCCCCCCAGACTCATCAGAGGAAGTTGAAAGAACAGAATCATCCGCAGTGCCGTCATAAGTTCCCATGGGGGGTAATACAGGACGTAAATCAACAGCCAGTGAATCCAGAAGTGGCCTGACCCACCACCGATTCCGAAAGATTCTGCAAGCATTTAGCATGAGTCAGGATAAGGAAAAATATGTAATTTTCTGACTAAAATTGATATTTTATACTTATCCCAACCTCCCCTCTCATGGCACTCTGGGTTTCCCTGTAAATCTGGGTTTCTGGCATTCATACAGAGAGAGAGTGACAAAACATGGCTGGTCATGTGACGAAAAGGATGCCAAGGGGGGCAAGGGAGGCCACTAGTGGGTGAGTGATGATTTTACATCCGCATTTTTAGAAGGGAACTTCAAGGGATTTCAAGTGTTCCACTATCATTTGCAAGAAGAAGGAGACAAGCATTTAGCATGAGTCAGGATAAGTATAAATATTAATTCTAGTCAGAAAATTACATTTTTGATACGTTTTTGTTTAGTTTCAATAAACTCTCTTCTCTTAAGATTTCTTGTGTTATTTTTCATGTTCTTGAGGTGCTGTTAGGACTGAAACCTGAATTATAAATAATGGGGACGGACAACAATATTCTTACAATCAATAATATCACACAACGCAAAGTCTAACGTTGTCCGTTACCACCTCCCCACACTGTTTAGTTCTATAATTCAGCTGTCACTGGATGCTCCCTAGGGTGCACCTATTACACTTTAAAATAGATATTATACAAATAAAAAAGCATTCCTTGTGCTTACACTCATGCGCTGAACATGTGTGGAACTTTCTGTCTCCCTAGTGGCTGATAAGATGTCTAAGAATATGAATACTTTATGTATCATGTGCTTGATTACATTTAATAGCCCTCCCATGACTTTGTCGGCATCGTCCTCCGATGCTCCGTCTGAAGCAGAGTCCTCGGAAAGGACTTCAGCTTTGTAGAGGAGGGGGACAGCTTCGAGGGGGAGTTTAAGTTTTTTTCGTATCTGAAGGACATTGATCAGCATATAGCTGTCGTTCAACCTGAGGCTGTGGTACCAATGATGAGGCAGGATCTGACTGACCTTCGCCTACCAGGGAAGGCGTTTGTTCCTTTAAGCTCTGCGTTATACCATCACTGGTCCAAGACGTTATTGGCCCCATGTTCGAGTAGTAGGGGCCGATTTGACGTCTCTGAGGCTCTTGGTTGCGATGGTGGGTGAATGACTTTTCACCTCGGCCACCCTGGGAGGAGCTTCAGGTCCCATAATAGTGGCTCCGGCTGCTCAGCAGATTCCACCCTTTTCCCAGTCAAGACCACCTCCGAGGACAATGTATTGGACCTTCGATGAGCAATTCCAGAATGCTTGCAAGCAGATTAGGGTGGTGGTCCATGGTGCTTACCTCTCCTATCTTCAGAGGGCAGCCCTGAAGGCACACAGGATGCCCTGGTGGTGTTTCACTATGTGTGGTCCTCCTTCGTCAGTTGACTGAAGGGCAGCTACAACTGACATTAGTGACATGGGACGCTGATGTACATTTACATGTAAACAGATGTAGATTTGATGTACATGTACATGTAAACAGATATAGATTTCAAGAGCTTCAGAGGTCAGTTAGACAACCATATGGCCATGACTAACATCCAGACTAGCTATTCTCGAAACGTTCGTAACCCTACGAACTTCTTAAGCCCATTCTTAACACATTGGCTACGATCAAAGTTAAGAATTCTTAGGTCTGCGAACGGTTCAAGAATAAGGGCCCTGCACTGTGTCTCCTTTGAGAGGCTGGGAGTTGCTACTGTGGTGCAACAGGTACAACTGTCAAGTAATTCCGATGTATCTCCCAGGGTTGGAAAACATTCGAGCAAGTTTTTTTATTGGTACAATATTTTAATTAAAGCATTGTTACAACTGTCACAGGGTATTTGCAGCAGAAGAAAATCCATATGTGTTTTGGAGAGGAAGAATCTCTACAAAGAAATGTTTGGCAAAGTTTTAGGTTGATTCACGAAAATCAAGTGGTTTTATTAGCCATTTTGAAACATTCCGAATATAAGCATAATGTTTAGAAAATGCTCTGTAAATACTGACAACAATATGTCATTACTGGGATTCTGAGTTAGAATAGGTCCCCAGCATCCTATGTTGGGCATAAGAGGCGTCTTAATGGATGGGGGGTTGGTCAGGTGACTTGATTGTCATGGTACATTGACAGCATGGATTGTTACTCACATTGTCTACCTCTGGGCTATTTGAAGGTTGTGTGTATAAATTGTATGTCTCTGACAAAAAAAACCCCCACTTTTCCCCCCAAATAATCAGTGTGTGTACTACACATGTTTATCTGTACGTACCACTTTTGTGCAGATGGCTGACTTGGCATTGCTGGATGTGTACGCAGGCTGCATGGAGCGGTGCTTGAAGTATCTCCCCCCGGACATGAGGGATCAATCTCTCCTTACTCTTGCCTCCACCTGTATCACCAAGCTACAGCATCTACAGGCCATGCCACAGGTACGTGTGGAATGGAGTAGATGGAACAAAGAATGGTTGGATCAGTGCACATAGTGAGAAGTAGCAAGTTATCCATTTGTTTGTGTGTGTGTACTGGAGAGTCAGTTCCAGACTGTGTCTATGTTTGTGTGTGTTTGCAGGTATATCTGGAGAGACAGTTCCAGACTGTGTCTATGTTTGTGTGTGTTTGCAGGTATATCTGGAGAGACAGTTCCAGACTGTGTCTATGTTTGTGTGTGTTTGCAGGTATATCTGGAGAGACAGGTTCAGACTGTGTCTATGTTTGTGTGTGTTTGCAGGAATATCTGGAGAGACAGTTCCAGACTGTGTCTATGTTTGTGTGTGTTTGCAGGTATATCTGGAGAGACAGGTTCAGACATGTTTGTTCAGGAATATCTTCAGGTATATCTGGAGAGACAGGTGTCTATGTTTGTGTGTGTTTGCAGGTTATCTGCAGGTTCCAGATATCTGCAGGTAGAGAGACAGTTCCAGACTGTGTCTATGTTTGTGTGTGTTTGCAGGTATATCTGGAGACAGTTCCAGACTGTGTCTAGTTCAGGTACTGTGTTCTGTGTCTATGTTTGTGTGTGTTTGCAGGAATATCTGGAGAGACAGTTCCAGACTGTGTCTATGTTTGTGTGTGTTTGCAGGTATATCTGGAGAGACAGGTTCAGACTGTGTCTATGTTTGTGTGTGTTTGCAGGAATATCTGGAGAGACAGTTCCAGACTGTGTCTATGTTTGTGTGTGTTTGCAGGTATATCTGGAGAGACAGTTCCAGACTGTGTCTATGTTTGTGTGTGTTTGCAGGTATATCTGGAGAGACAGTTCCAGACTGTGTCTATGTTTGTGTGTGTTTGCAGGTATATCTGGAGAGTCAGATTCAGACTGTGTCTATGATGTGTCTTCTGGCTGCTTTAGCAGACATAGTAGATAGTTTGCAGCCCTCAGACACCATGATGGACATCACTGAAACAATACTGGAATTCACTGTGTCCATGAAAATGATGCCAGGATTTACTAAGCAAGCATCAAAAACAAGCAAGAGGTAAATTGAAGGACATTTTTGCCCATGCAGTAACTATGTACAATATGTGCCGACTCATAGCCACAGATCCTCATCTTTCCCAATATAAAGTGAAGGATTTCAATTGCAGTGAGTCAAGGATTTCCCAGAAGGACTGGGGCAGGGTTGTATCTAGATATATCTCCAGTCAGTGGCAGTGTATGTATTTCCTTCTCAAGAGGTGCCCAGGACGACCGTCAGCGCCTCAACTTCTGGAGACTTGCTATGATGCATTTGATGTTGGCACAAGGGACTCTGACATCCATGTTCTCCACTGTGTTCAGTGTCTTCTCTCTGAGGTATGAGTATACACCCTAAAAAGGTCAGCAATATGACAACCTCAGTTTCCTCAACCTGTCAAATGGAATTGAGTAAATTCTGTCAAATACACATATTTTTCCTTATCCTGACTCATGCTTTTTTGCTTGTCTCCTTCTTCTTGCGAACACAGTGGAACACTTGTATCTCCCAATTGAAGTTCCCTTCAATGTAAAATCACTAATTAGTACTCACCATGAGTTATCTTTCCCCTCGTAAGCGCGGGAACGAGGGCGCCACCTCTCACCATGTGCCTCACTCTCTCCTTGTTCGCCCAGTGAGCAGGACGTGAGAGCGCCTGTGTCTCCCTACACACTATATCCTTTATTTATAATTAATTTGTTACCTCTTATATTCATCTATAGAGGTGTAACTAGTATCCTTATTCAACATGCATTGATTATTATTCGTGTTTCTGCTGCTTTATTCACGGTTGGCCGTGTTTGCTCAACAGTTTGCGTTAATGAAAATCTGCACTGTTTGTAAATTACGTTACTCTGCTGCCGATCCGCATTTAAAATGCCCTAGTTGCATAACTCCTTGCTCTATTGTTTCACGCTGCAAATTATGTATTAATTTGTCTAATTCTGCCTTTGATAAATATTTATATTCCGTCATGAGACGGGCGGCAGATAGATCTCGGAAACAATCTTCAGTCATGGCTAATAGATCGGAGTCAGATATACCCTGTCAACTGTTGGCGGACGACCCTCTACCGTCTGGTGTTCCGCCTGAGTTACCTTTGGGGGATAAGCGTGGGACGCAGTCCGCTATATCTAAGAAGCGACCTGCATCCCAGGACGTTCCTTCATCACAGTCTAAGACTAGAAGAGCTTCCACGTCGTCTCAACGTACGCTCCGAACCCCCAGGTCTACAGCTTCGTCAAAAGGGGAATCCATGAAGGCTACTAAAAACTTTGCTTCTGACATTCTACCTGTTTCAGAATTGTGTTTATATGATGATGACATTCCGATTATCATTCCAGATGTACGTCATAAGAAGCGACCAGTATCGGCTACCGTCACTTCAGCGCAGATCAACACGCAACCAGAGATGCCTACGCTGACGCCTGAGATAATAACTGAGGGTCCCGTCACTATCACAGAGAGGACACCCTCAACGCCAGCGCAGACCGTCCCAGACGACCTGGTTAACCAAATCATGATGTTGATGGAAGACCGATACGGTTTACAGAGGCCTCAGAGCCCAACCCATAATAAGTCATAGAGGGCCCCAGAGCCCGCCTTGACTTCGCGTAGGGCTCTAGAGCCCACAAACGCGCCTCCACGAAGGGCAACCCAGCCCGTAGCGAAGCCTTCGCGAAGAACGTCCCAGGCCGCCTCCACGAAGGATCCAGAGCCTCACCAGTTGCGAAGGGCTTCGCGGAGGAGGAGTGCTTCACCGAGCTCACACCCTGTAGAACACAGAGGTCGTTCGCGAAGCAAGCTCCTATAAGGCCTTCACGTAGGTTAAGTGGCTCCAAGTCATCTTCATTCAGAAGATCTTGAAGGGATTCACCGAGAGCTTCACGAAGCCACCATCATTCGCCAAGGAAGCTCCACGAAGGTCTCCATATAGAAGCCACTCGTCAGTCCGTTCAAGACATCTTCGTCTTATAGTTGTCGAGGGATTCATTCGGACCTTAGCGAAACTACAGGTCACCCTACACAGTTCGTCGGGTTATTCACCACGTTCGATCCCCTCGCCGATTTACAGACAAGTATCCAGCGAAGCAGAGACATCGCAGTACTTGTCTATCAACTGTATGCCACATGCCGTCTTCAAGCCTACACGAAGGCATTCGCACAGGCTATTTACAAAACAGAACGTTATATAGTTACGCGAAGTACTATTTACAGATGAAGAGCCTAATTAAGGATCTTCAGGCCGACTACCTACATCAAGGGCATCAACGACGTTTCGCAGATCTTCACAGGAATCACCATTTCCGTATATATTGCTAAGTATGCAATCCCGGACTACGATACGCTTATCTACATGCATGACCATTACGCAGATCTGCAGACAATTCAATAACGGAATTGAGCAGCAGCCTTGTTACAGCGAGTAAAACAGATGATCGTCAACGATTTCCTGAGAAGAAATATGTACAACAAGTTCAGCTTTAATTCTACAATTATGATGCTACATTGATGTATGCAGTCTACAAGCTGACAACTTGCAAGTTTTATTCAGCCTATATGTAAGGAAGTCGGCATTATATTCAAGACTGAAGTTACATTCACAACAGCCAGGAAAATATCCTACCCAGCATTAATATTACAGGGCGAGGTATTTCGCGCCGGAGGTTTCGCGCGTTTACCTTTAACCCTCGAAACACGTGGTCACTCGTGTAACTTCGGGAAGCTACGGACAAGACCGACGATTGATCTAATATCAACGACGGCACTAAATTATACAAGGTTCCTTTTCCTGCTACACCGGTGACATCACAGCGCGGGTACACTACAGAATCAAAATGCCTTGTTCTGATTGGACCGCGATGGACAACGCAGAGGTCGTTCATAGTTCACAGTTCAAGACATAGGTTGCAAGTGACAACAACATATCAGTGAACGACCAAAGCCTCCATACAGTCCAGTTAATCTGAACCTTCATGATTGGGCTGCCTTCATGAGGTTAGAGACCTCCTCTGTCAAGTAAGGACGAGGGCACGGCAGTCAGGCGATTTTTACATAAAGTTCAACGATGGCAGTCACCCCTGGTTGTGCACCTACATCGTCAAGGACTTCGCAGCGAGTTTACCTCGACGACGGGATACAAGTGGATCCAGATCCACAGCGTCTCAGACTACAGTTGAATTTCATCATCTAGCTACTAACACAACTAGGATGGTTAGTAAATCTACTTAAGTCGGACCTAGAACCTACGCAAGATCTGCAATTTCTAGGTATTTGGTTTGTAACGGCGCAGAATCGTATAATTGTACCGGAGGGGCATGGATCAAGATCCAACAGTCAATCCCACAGGGGTTACTCACTTCAGCTCAAGACATGACAGTCAGAGGCAGACTACAATTACGTCCGTTACAAGTCATCATCAATTCGCATCACGACGACTCTCTACCGTTCAGTTTACCGGATCATGTTAAACCTCACCTACTATGGTGGACCAAGAGATCGAATGTTTGAGTAGGCATCTCTTTAATAGAGCCGGAATCGAAAACACATCTCTACGTAGACGTGTCACTACAAGGATGGGGAGCCCATCTTGCCAACAGGACGGCATCAGGGCTATGGAGCAATCAAGAGAGCAAATTACACATAAATCTGCTAGAGATGCAAGCAGTGATAACGCCATAATGCACTGGAGCAACTTACTACAGAATGCTCAGTTGATGATTCACACAGACAATTCAACAGTGGCGTTTTATGTGAACAAACTAAGCTCAACCAGGTCCCCGAACCTATTGACTCTATGTTTTCAATTGTTCGATTTAATCGACAATCTCAACATACATGTCAGAGCATGTCACATTCTAGGAGCAAAGAATGTAATAGCAGACGCTCTCTCTCGGCCACACCTACCATCGCCGACAGAATGGATGCTCCATACAGAGATATTCACTCAAATTATCAAGGAAATAGGAACTCTACTAATAGACCTATTTACCACTCGATTCAACAAACAACATTCGTATCGCCAGTCCCAGACCCACTAGCATGGGCAACGAACGCACTAAGCATATCGTGGGAAGGACTCAACGCGTACGCTTTCCGCCACCAGCGTTAATCCCACAAGTCTTACTCAAAATCAGTCAAACGCAGAGCCTCCATCTGAATTTGGTCGTGCTCTACTGACCAGCGAGAACGTGGTTTCCAGCTCTTATTCAAGGAATCGGACAACCAATACTACATCTTCCAGAGTGCTCGAATCTGTTAATACATCCGCACACCAAACAAGCGCACGGAAAGCCAGAAATATTCCAACTTCACGTATGGATTGTATCAAGGCGTGTCTGAATAAGAGGTTATTCAGCCAGAGCGGCAAAAGCAGTCAAGCTTGCCCTGCGTAACTCAACTGGCAACTTATACGATGACAAATGGCACAGTTTTGTCAATTATGCTGCAAAGAAGGATTTACAGCTAGATATGCTACTCATCCTCAAGTGGCTGACTACTTATGTTATCTTCGTCAGACTAAGAATTTAAAAGGCTCAGCTTTGTCCACCTATCTTGCAGCAATAAGCTCTGTCATAACTATGAGAACGGGCGTCAAGTTAATCAAACCCCAGAGTTACTCGCCTTGCTACAAGCATTCCGATTGGGGGATTAAAAACGGAAGTTTCACGCTCCAGCTTGGGATCTGAATGTAGTGCTCCAACACCTCACAAGTGAGGCTTATGAACCATTAGAATCTACATCGTTGAATCTCTGACTCAGATAACCTCGTTCCTGTTATCTCTAGCTCCGGCTGCCATGATGTCAGAGATTCACGCATTGGATTATGAGAGAACACGCTTTGATGATATACTTGGACCTCATGATACGATGGATCTATCACTATGGCCAGTAAGAGCACTGAAAATATATCTCCACCGATCCAAACAGAGGAGGGAAAAATTCAAGAGATTATTTTCCTCTATCAACAGCTACGCAGACGGAAGTCTCACGTACTACTATCTCCATTTGGATCAGAACTGTCATACTACGTGCCTACAAGACTGCAGGACTCGACCCTCCAAGAGCTTCTAATACTCATGATATTAGAGCGCTAGCATCTACACTTGCTCTACACGGCAACTGCTCTTGGAATACCATAATGGAGGGTTGTTTCTGGAGATCCGATATGGTGTTTGCCAACCACTATCTGAGAGATATCACCACTATGGACGTCTCAGGTATCCACCATTTCGGTCCCATGGTCCTCGCTCAACAGTTGACAGTTCCTCGGAGAAGATAAGTCAATCTTACAGATTTCTACTTATCTTATAACAGTACTAAATAGCTACGTGCTATA